GCTATGAGATCTGATAGAAGAGCAGTGCTGTACACATGCTAATAGGCTGAAAGAAGGGGTGTAAAGCTCAGACCATTATCTGCTAGCCCATCTACTGCAAACCCTGAGTTCTCATTTGCCTCACTTGTCCAGATATGTTGTTGCAAAGTTTCAGATACTTCTTCAGGTGATTCTGACTTAGAAAGCTTAGATCAGACCACCATGAAACAGAAACAACATCAGGGGCAGAGATGATGAGTAGTACAAATTATCCTCCTAATTAATGGGTAATGCAGATTTTTATTTGTATGTTCAAGGAAAAAACACATAAAGAACATAAAAGCACTTCCTGAAAAATACACAAATATGGAAAAACATGGTTGGTGCTACTCTATCAAACAATGGTACAGGAGGGAATGTTCACATGCAAGGCCAGCCCTGTGCATTGCAGAAATCAATACAGGATTGAGCACGTGTGGAGTTAGGTCATCAATAACTGTGAGATACTACTTTTGTTTTTGTGACCTCCGCCTAAACACCAACCAGCAGTAGCTGAGAGAAGCAATGTGAACCACTGCTTAAAATTGTCCCAACTAAACCAAGGGAGACTCAATGCAATTTCCATGCTGTTCCTGGAATTCATTCCATCTCTGGGTACTGCCAAACCAACCCAGCTAGGGTTGACTCATCTGCATGGTTTCATGAAGTACTTCTGAAAGGCTTGTGTCTTGCCTTTGGAATGCTCTGGATCACACCAAGAGTATGTGATGCTCCAGCATGGGGGAAGAGGACGTCCCTGACTCTTCCCTACAAAGATATTCCCAGTCTGCACTCTGCAGTATTAACTGCATGCTCAATTTATTTCTCACTACCTAAGGAAAGCATTGAGCATTCATTCCTTTGGCAAATGATATCATCTCCCCATTCCAGTTTTGCTTCTGAGACAGCAAATTTTGCTTGCATAGGAAAACAAATGAACAAATTGCCCAATCCCTCATTCTTCCCTGTTTTCCTATTTCTAACATTGTGGTAAAGAAATGTATGATGAGCTGCAGAGGAAAAAATCTGGGAGTCACAGCTAAAATACTGTCAGCACATAAGCAGAAATTTAAAAACTCAAAGAAGGGCAAAAATAAAACACATAGAAGAAAAAAACCAATTCCATGGGAAGTGTGGGATCTCAGCACCTCAGGACTGAGGTGCCGAGCCACCGAGACCACCCTTGAGGGGCTCGGGAGTCCTGGAATGTTGCCAGAAGTGTCTGGTGGCTGGACTTTGATCCTACACGGGAGACGACACCTGTATGAGGATAGGAGGACTTCACCAGGGTGAATGGTGAAGGGATTAGTTAATTAGAGGGTGAGACACAGGGTTTAGGATTTATGTACAGGGGGGTTTAGAGAAGTAAGATGGAGGAATTGGGGCGTGTCCTGTCCTTCTTCTTCTTCTTCTTCTTCTTCTCCTCCATCTTCTTTGGTGATGGTGGCACTTTGGGATTGGTCATTACTGAAAGTGCACCGGACAATAAAAATAAAAAGGATTGGGGAAAAATGATAAATATTGTACACGTAACCATGGGTATAAAGATAGGTGACTGTCCGGAGGGCTACACAGTGTGCTCATGGCTGACTGCTGAGCAGACCTCTGTCGGGCCGAAAGAAAATCTTTTAGATAAACAATTAATAAACATAAAGACTGAAAGAAGAACTGAAGCCTCTTCTCGTCCTTTGATACGCGGGCTGCCCCAAGGCCACTCCGGGCCTTTCCAGGCCCTTCAAACAGCCGAAAACTGGACAGGGAGGTAAGAGTAGAAGCCATCAGGACTATTTTAGAAAGCATCTGATAGAGCGCATGGCAGTACACATGAATTAATGAGTAAGTATGTCTACTTGGCTAATTGTAACTTTTCCTTTAATGAGTATTAACTAAAATTGAACCCAGTACTGGTACACAACACATTGTAGAGCTGTGAAATTTACTACTACTTAAATTGTATTAATGAGACAACAACTTAAAATTACTTTAAATTGGGTAAGAATTTCATATTTACAGAATACAGCACCCTTCACATTTCAGGAGTGAAATCAAATGTTTTTTGACCGGAGTTAGGGAAAAACATCATTGCCAGTAGATTTTTACATCATGGTCTGTCATGGCTGAACTTTAGCTAAAGCCCCTTGGTTCTGGCAACTTTCAGCATTTCACATTCTCCTATTTAAGATTAAAAACAGTCTCAGAAAGAGGTAAAGAACATAAAGAAATTCCATGGTACACATCTAGATAATATATCAGGAAAGACAGGAAAAGATTAAGGGTTCTAACTTCAAGAATTTACCAAATGTGCACAATTGGTATCTGAAGTTTTCCCTGCTGCAACTCCAGCCAGCTCTTTAGCTGTCCAGAGATGCTTCACAGATCTCTCTCTATTGATGTTAGCAGAACTCCTGAAGTGAAATTTCTTAGAAGTTTCTCAGAAATGCCTTCATAAACCCATTTATTGATTTGGCTTCTCAGAACTGGCTCGCAAAATCTCATAGACAGTCGCATCTGAAATGAGTTTCTACTTCCTTGTGTCTTGCTCTCTGAGCCCCAAAAATTGAAAGGCAAAAGGTATATCAGTCATCTTGTAGGATTTATTGAGACCACTTTTTATAGAAAGTCATTGGGAAGGAAAATAGAGGGCTATTGGGGAAATACACTGTGTTTCTCCAACAAATTTCCACAGTACTATCAAAAGTACTGGATTTGGCCTTTCTGGGCAACCCAGCTATAGCAGTAAGGTGTGTGTTCATCTCTAGTTGTTGGGCTGGACCGTTGTAAGGTCATTTATTTGATGAAACAAAATTGGGTCTATCTCTCAGAAGGCCTAGAGAAATAGAATCAGGACTGAATAAGGGAATGTTTCTCTAGCAAAATGGTAATATAAATTATATGGGGTTTACTAATTATACAGTTTCCACTAACAATAACATGATGATCTATAGAACTGAAATCCAGAGCATGAGCTAAGCTATTACTCTTTTCTTATTTTCCATCTGAGTCAGTTACAACAAAACCTGTGTTCAAGAGACCAAGTTGTATACTTTTTGCTTCCCCATTTAATCCCATGTGGGTTTCCCCATCTAATCTGAAGATAAGCAGAAGATACTCCACATCAAAAGCCCTATAATGATGGTTCAAAGACAGATCCAACTCATAATGGATTTATAATGCAAATTATCTATGGTCAGTTTGAAAGGAAAATAAATATTTCCCATGGGCAGAACTGACATTCTTTAGCTGAAAGAGAATGAATCCAGGATACATGTGCAAGCACAGTGTCATATATGTCTCTCAAGTCACAGGTTTCAAGGTTCCAGTTCTAAAAGGAGCACATCCAACAATGTGAGAATTAGACAGAAGCTCAGCCATGCCAAATCCCTGGCCACCACTTACTTTGTCCTGTGTGTGTTTTTCTAGTGAAGAGTGTGGCCTGTCTCATTGCTTTCAATGCAGTAAGTCATACCTCTTTTGTTTAAGTGCATCTAGACAGAACTTTAATGGAACAAATTATGTCTTTAGTCAATCTTCCTCTGTCTGCACAGGAGGGATACCCTGAATCTGGTCATTATCTTACAAAATCAATCTAGTTTAAGGATTATCCTTCCTAGAAATGTCATATCTTCTCTTGGAAGTTTTGTTCAAACCATTAAGCTGCATGTGTATCATAGAAGAATCTGAACATGGGATCTGAGCTAAGACCTTAAGCAGTCTGAAAGGTCAGTGCCAATTTGGCATTGGCTGCCAAATATGATACCCAGAAAAACACAAGTCCTCTTTCAAAAGTAATAGACACACACACACACACACATACATACATATTTATGTATATAAATCTGTATAGCATATTTGCAGGCCTAAACTCCTTGTGAAGTTGTTTTTCAGTATAGCAAATTAGAAAAATATGCCCAGAATTAAAGGTTACCTAATCGGGTTGAAGCAGCAACTTCAACTCCAGCAACTCCCTCCCACTGTGTTACATCTGATAATGTACCCAAGTCCAAACATAAACTTAGTTCAAAAAGATGTTTGGTTCTCAAATGTAAAATGACACTTAGCTTACACAATTAGCCAGGTAATACATATCCTTCCAAGAGAAGCAATTTTTACCACAGAATTATCTGCGTTTTACTAATCTCTGATTGTTAAGTTTTACTTGCTGAAACTTTTCCATATGGCTTTTTGAATACCACTGTCCTGTATTTAATTACCACAGAGGGATATTAATGAAGAGGTTTGAAATTTGGCCCAAGCCCTGTTCCACAGTTTGGACAGTTTGATGGAGATAGAGGCAGTGAGCTGAACACTGCTGTCAATAGAGGCTGTGCCATTTCACACATAAAAGCAGTGGCAAAAGAACAACAAACAGACATACAGAAATAAAACACTTAACTATTTTTGAATTGTCCATAAACTTCTAAGCCAGCATAATTTTAAAGTAGCACTGAGTGAAGTGAAACACTACTTTGCTGACTTAAAGGACAGTCAAACTGACTGACCTAAAGGAATTGGTGGAGTAGTTCTTGAAGTCGACACCATTTTGATTAGGCTGGAAGACAGATACATGTCCAAAAATGCAAAGTTTACTACCCAATTTTAAAGGCAAAACATGATATTGAGCAGAACCAAGGCAAGGGTGGGCAGCTTGAGTGCAGAGGATGCGAGGAAGTTAACGTGGGTGGGAAAGCATGTGTTACTGCCTGCATGAGGAAGTGGTACACCACAGTTACTTCATAAGTGCAAGGGATTTATGAACTAAATCTCCTAGGGACTGTTTTAAATAGACAAAGAATGACATGCAGCTCTGACAGGCTTTTGTTTGAGAAGGCTGGTTGCCTTCCAAAAACACTGGACTGTCACTTGTACTTTTACTAAATATGCCAATTTTTAACCTTAATGTTTTCATATAATCAGTGGGGAGATGCACCATGTAGTAAATTGTTTTGTCTAAAGCATAAAATCGATGGCTTCCTCAGCCTTACCTGACAATGGAACACATATTCTGGTGTAGTTTTCTTGAATTTCATATTCCACACCAAGGCTACCCCATCAGGCTCATGTGGAGCATCTTCATTATTGTTATAAGATGCAACCATCAATTCAGGGTACTAGAAAGGAAAAGAAAATGCAAATAAAATAACATGGATAATGAAAAGCCTACACAAAATCATATCAGACAGAAATAATCTACAGTAAATGTGCAATATCTGGTTTTAATTAAAATTAATGCTAGTTCAATCATATTATTCTGCTTCATTTTGGTTTTACATTTTACTCATCCCTAACATCCTTAAAGTCCCTGATACTTGCTCTCTATCAGTTATTCTAAAATATCACAAAGGCAATGTTATTTTCTGCAGGTAATTCTTAAGAAAAGACAACTAGCAAAATATTTATAAAGGGAATGAAAAGGAAGGAGGAAGAAAAATTTGAAAGCTTGAATAATTTTAAAATATTTGCTCAACATGTCTTCAGGGACAAACTGCTGTCTTAACTGACTGATAATAAAACACTATGACCATAGGGTTGACTAGCTTTTATTCTGAAATTCACTGTTTTTTTCCAGCATTCCTGAAAACTATTCTTTCTTATTTCATTATGCACTCTTATTCACTTATGCACAGAATCAACTTGAAAGCTCTTCTTGATGATTCAAATGGCAAACAAAACATTTTCTTCATAGAAGCTCAATTTTACAAGATGCTGAGGTCATCTTGTAAAGCACAGGGTGACCTTGAATTCCACTGACTCAGTAGGATTGATGCAATAAGCACTCTAAAAACAGAGTCACACTTTTTTGTATACCCATTATCCCCTGTTGTATAGAAGTAGATATGCAGCACACATAATCATTTGCTTTGTTTATATATACCTATCTATATATACATAACATCATAAATGACAAATCAGAATTTCACACTGTCTTAATGACCTTGCATAATTTTAAAACACTGTAAGAAGTAATAATTTACCCACAAAACATCAATCACTTTCGGTCTACACAGTAACTCCCAGTTGTTCACTCTCACATGTTTGACACAAGGCACCTCTGGAAACCTCTGTCCTTCCCTCTGAGTATTTGCCTATTTAGAGGGGTAAGGCAGTGGAGATGATGGCATGTCCAGAGAAAAGCATGTGGCTTCTGCAGACCAACAAGTCAGCAGCTTGAGTTGTGCAAGACCTACACTCTCCTCTTGTAAATTAGAAATGCTTTCCCTCAAAATTTCTCAGTATCTGCAAATTATTGTCACTTTTTGTCTTTCCCAGGTTAATTCCTACCAAACCATCCACCACTTTACAGGAGAACAGTGCAGCTGGTAGGAAGCAGGAAAAAGAAACTCTCTTTTGGGAGTTGTGAATTTGGTTCAAAGGCACTTTAACAGTTAATAAAACCCCAAACCACCACCCTTCCTATCGTTATTATTGGGGTCTGAACCTCTCTGCTCTCAAAATCCATTGGAGGAAATAATGCACACAGCTGTAACTTCTGCCACCAGCAGCTGTTGCTTCCCACATTCTGTACAGTTCCATGGATAATGTATCACAGAGCTGATGATTTTCCTACTCAAGCTCATTGCTCTGAGTGAGCCTGGACCCATGTGTGGAGGAATCAGCAATAACACACGGACACCACAGCCTGGCCCTTTCCCATTTTAGGGAAACTCTGACTGGATTGTACCTACATCCCTCCAGACCCTGGCTGCTGGCACAGCTTGTAAGGACAATTTAACACCCAATTCACTTGCATGGAATTTAAAGGAAGCAGTAGACCAACCAGTCCCTCATCAAGACCCAAGGGGCACTTGAAGGTGAATTAATCCCCCACCTGAGATGCCACCTCTCTGGACACAGTTGTGCCAGCCTTGCCCTCAACTGTTCTCATTCATCTCTTCTCTCTCACTCCTGCAACAGAGCTTACAACCACTTCTGAACAGCAAGCTCAGCTTCTCCTTTGAACCTTTTCATCCCACGCTGGCCCATGGCCAAGTAAACAGAGTGTGCAGCAGGCTCTTGACAGGGCATCACGCTGTGGTGAGCAGGTTGGGGACCATTCACGCGAGTGCCTGAGCCTGCAGCCACGCAGGGGCAGAAACACGAGCAGGCAGAAGCAACAAGCCCTCTTGCCAGCAAGACTACAGCCAGCTAGCGTGTGTGGCCAGGCCCAAAGCACCAATTTGGAAGCACTCTGGGGCTGGTTCATGCTCCTGGGAAGTTTAGTGGGCATGGTTGGCAGCATGTCTGGCTATAAACAGACACTGACTCAAATCCTGCTGGTCTATTGTCAGGTTTTGCAATCAGTTTATGTATTTGACTGGAAACACAGTTTAAAGTTTAAGCAGATGCTGGGGTCATACCTAGATGGGTAACACCATTATGAGGCTTTTTGACTCTTAAAAAAACAGAGCTGAATGCAGTACCCTAAATCCTCCCTGGCACTGCACACTCCAATGCCCCACTCAAGCTACTTCCATTTACACAGTTTCAGTCCTCACCGGGTGCCCAGATGTCCTGCAAATGAAAGCAACATAGAAATGGTGCTGTGCAAAACTTCCTTCAAGGCTTCTGTCTGAGGGTCCAGAAAGACATATCACTATCCCTAGGATGATGATTTTCTTGGCTTTAGGTGATCTAAGTTAGCTCCCATGGACAGAGTAAGGTGCTATCATTCTTCATGTTTACTCTCAATCAATTGGGCCTTTCCCTAAGATCCTTAAGCACCTCAGCCATTTTCCTGTTGTTCTGTGAAAGAATCAAGGGGCTAGAGGGTTAACTTGAATGGTATGAATGATCCCACATGTTTGAGACTGTATTCTACATGTGACTGGGAACTGAGTAACTTGTTTAATCAATGCATCAATGTCCTTTGTTTGATTAAGCTTCTATTTGCCTCCAGGCTGTTTCGCAGCAGCAGTTTTATCGCTGAAAATTGAGCAATGTGTTCTGCAGTTCCCATGATTATTCAAGTTATTCTTTGGCACAGTGGACACTGCCATGTCCTGGAGCATATGTGAACTGCAGAGCTAGTGGTTAGGTGAAATACCTCTGTCTGGCTCCAGCTCTTGTCTCGTGGATACAACTCAAAGCAGGAAGGAGAGGAGGCAACTCCGTACTCCCAAGCTACTGTAGGGCAGCCTGCAGAAGCCCCCCACATGGAGAAGCCCCTGCTGGGGTGCCAGGGAGCTGAGCATGAGGAGTTAACAAAGAGGAAGGCAGGAGGGGCCACCCTGGAACAAAGAGGTGGGAAGCAGAAAATGCCTTCAAGCCCCAGGGGCTGAACAATTACATTTGGCAGTGCTCTTCTGAGGCGGCTTTTTTTCTTGCTGCCCTGGGAGTACAGTAAGAGCTGCCTGTTAGGAAAATATCAGATAAGAATTCCATGTAATTTCCAGCCCCTGAACAAGTGAACAACCTAAGATAAGTGTTTCCTCAGGCTTATATTTGATTTCTGTGGAAATCCATATGTGCTTAAAGGCCACCCACATCACAATAGCACATACCTGTTGCTAGGCTGATATTTTGTATAAAAGCAAAGGTATAAATCCTTCATTTCACACGTGGAGTGCAAGCTGGCTATTAAAAGAAGCTTCTCTGCAACTGGCTGTTGTGCACCACACAGATGTGCTCAGCCTACCAGCTGTGCTCACTGGGACCCGCTGATTCTTCTCCTTTCTGCAGCCTCCTGTGCAGGCAGCTGCCACCTTGCCTGGGAAGTGCACAGAGGGATGGGAGCAGCTCTGTGGCCATTTCAAGGGAAAAGAGAGAAGCATGGATGGAAGTCCCCATGCTTCTTATCCCGTGGCATGCCTGAGGCTGGGTTTGTGCTTGCATTTGTGAACTCAATGTGCTCTTGGAGAAGTTTTGTTAAATGTGTATGGTGGATTTAGGAGCAGATTCTCCTTGGTTCTCTCCCCAAGGAAACCACATGCTTTGCTCCAGGCCAGAACCTAGGAACAGGCTAACAATGATGAAACAGGACAAGGGGAGCTGGAGTAAAACTGGAACCAATTTCATTTAACAGGACCTGTGATGATGTCTGATAATCCCAGCTCTCCAAACAGAGTAACTAATTAAACTGGTTTCTGCACTTTGCTAATGTGATTGCATTGGTTTTGGAGAACTTAAGCAAGTCTATCATCATTTTTATTTTCGAATGACAATGCTTTGCATGCAGAGAAACTGGGTACGTTCCAGGCATGCTGCCTTAGCATGACCCAGAGCAGCTGCAGCCTCCTCTTCCATCACTTGAAGAGAGGATCCAGCAGTTTTTGAAAGATCTATTTTCAATCTTTTTAAATTGTTCAGATACTTTCAAATTTTAAATTTTGGTATATTAGAAAAATTCATTTTATTTCTCACCATTTTTAAAGATTTCATGTAATATGTATACATCTACCATGTATACATATTATATATAGTAAATTAATTTTAGTTAGTTTAATTTTAAACCTTTTGTCCTAAAAAAAATTTCCATTTTTGGCTGAAGCAGTGTTAGGGGGAGGAAAAGTAAAGACTTAATCTTGGTAGGTTTGTTAACTTAGGGTTTTAACACAACATCCTGATTTTGAAGACCAAGTAACATATACAAAAAAAAAAAAGACAACTTCTATATCATCCACCACCCTTCTTCACAGAGAAAAGTGCTTTCACTCATACAAGGCCTTGCTGTTCTCTCAAAAATAACATCCTGCTCTGCTCTGCATAAAGAAGAGCAAAGAGAGGCTGCCCATAAATTTTATAGGGAGAAGTGGAAGTGATATGGAAACTCATCTCCCAGCTCCACATCTTACCTGAAGAGACCAATCCATGCAGGTGACAACACGATGCTTTGACCAGTGCTCATCATAGAACTGCCGGTTAAAGGAGAGGTTGGCTCCTGCTTGAACATCTCTGTGTGAATTCAAACAAAGTGACAGATTTTCAGGTATCAGGATTCAAATGCTGTGAAAAGCAGTGCAAAAGTTTTGGACTGCTTCTTAGATCTCTGCTCAGCCTGGGGGAGTCTGCCACCTAGATTTAATTGCTCCCACTGACTGTCTGGCTGAAAATGATGCAACAAGGAACAAATTTTAGGTCTGTTTCACAAAACCACATTTTTAATCTTCTCACTGCCTGCCTGACTCTTCTGGGTCACCCTGGGCCGTCTCTGCCCTCTTTTTCTCCCAGGATGAACCTGGCCCTGGCATTCAGCTCCCACTTTTATGAACCTTCACCTCCAAGCTATAACCAAACCTCTCTTACTTTTGACTCCTAAAATGTTAAAGGTACAGCACCATCTCCCAGAGATGGAGACAGCAGATGCTCTGTGACACTGTGAGGACAGGCTGAAGCTCAGTGCTGGTCCAAAAGTGCCACACTGATGCACACAGCTGGTCCATACGGATGCTGTTCTGGGTTAGCCTCCAGTAACTCCCATGCAATACAGCTACTGATTTGCCATGAGGCTTCTGCAGATACACAGCTGCTGCAACCTAAATATTTCTTCTTCAACTAACAAGTTTTACTGCTTTGCTCCCATATCAAATGCTGAAAACAAAACTTGTCACTTCTCGTCTTAGCTGTTAAGATTGCAAACGCTTTGGGAGATCATTTTCATCCCCACGATGCATGGTAAAGTGGGATCCATTACAGACCTGAGGCAGTAGTAGAATATAAACAACACTAGTTTGAATTTGTGAAAATATCATAAGCACACACACGCACACAGCTGGAATGTACACATTTACATGTACATGTGTATTTACGTCTTTCAGTTATTTTCCCAGAATTTTGAATTTCATCCCAAAAATGAAACAAAAAATTAAACCAGCTAAGTAATACATCAAATTAAAAAACCTGCCAAAACCCAGATCAGTAAATCATAAAGCTATTTTAAAATATCATTTCGGATGACAAAGTGACCCAGGCCTTCACTGAGAGATTTTAGGCTTTTCTTAACAATAAAAATATTAATTTTTTAAATTAAGGCTTCCTGTTATTAGAATTGTCTTTATAAAACTCATTTTACAGGAGCAAAAAAAAAAAAAAAACCCAAACTGACCCATCTTTCTCTTCTACATCTCTGCCACTATAGTCAAAGAAGATGTCAGAATCTTCAGCCAAAGCTCGCTCAATTACACGTATTGTGCGGTCAAAAAATATCAGGAATTCTTCTGAATGGAGAACTTGTTGCTTTTCTTCTTCTGTCAGTTCTCTAGGAGGAGCTTGGAAAATGAAAAGATGTAGTTAGGAGTATGACATTTCACCCCTTTCCCAATGAATCAACATCTTCAGTGGGTTTCCTTTGACATGAAAGATTGCTGTAGCCATGTCAGGAGAAAAATCAAAGCTTTACTCTTAAAATCATGACTAAGAAGTTTTTAATATGTCTAAACATACTCCTGTATATTACCAGAATGTAGCCTTTACATAGAAGAGATCCTGTATCTTATGTATTTATTATTCTGAAATGGAAAATACTTAAACCCCCCAAATTAAATAAACTCAGCGTTCCTATTTCAGGAAATGGCCGTGACTGACGTTTAGGCAATACCTAACTGGAAAAAGCAGAACACTTATGTAACAGAGGACCTGTCAGAGGAGCTGAAGATAAAATAATCTTCTTAACTTATACCACAGTTCTTTATATTAAAAGGTCTCACATAATCTCTCCCTTCAATTCTTCCAATTTCTACTTGGTGTCACTGATAAATTCTGTCTTTGCTTCAGAACTTCTGCAAAGTAATGAAGTGAATAACCAAAGATATTTTCTGAGGCAGCAAAATTGCAAGCAACCAGCCAAACAGCAGTTTATTTGAGGCAGTGTTATTCCCTGCAGAGGAATCCTAAGACCCAGAGCAACAAATGTCACCAAGCCATGGGCAAAGCTGCCCTGGGAGGGGTAGGGGCTGTCTTGGGCAGCAGTAAGAATAGTATGTTTCCCCCAAGATGAAGCTGCTTCTTTGCGCGTATACAGAGTTGCTAAACCTTTACTTCCAATATTTACAGTTTGGCCCTTCATTTGAAAAATACTGTCTTTAAAGGACACACCAGTGCAACATCTCCATCAGTTTAATGACTTGTTGGTAAATTATAACTCAAATGTGAGCATCAGAGGAAATGAAAGTTGGGATGCTCCTGTTACTACAGTAAAAAATTCTGTTCTCAATTGCACTATCAGGGTCATATTGATATTCTGTGAATATTGTATATTGATTATGTATTTTCCTACAAGTGCTTTTGAATCATCATTATAGTTCTATTTCAGAATTACTTCTACTTCCAGAAATGACAGTATCTTTACAGTTACCCCAAACCAACCTTGCAACTAGCCTAAATTCCCAGCATAAAAATCTCTGTTGGCAGAGAATTTTGTTCCAAATTTATAATTAGGAGCACAAACAACATATCATAAACAGATTTACTGCAAAACGACAGAGACTCCTACATAAGAGTTTAACAGGAGATCAAAGGCCTCCTGCATTTAGCTTTAGACTACAGATTTGAGGTGTTTACCTGTGAAAATGACCTTGCAGTCTCTGTAGGCCATATTGGGTTAAAAACTGGCAGCCAAAAAAGGGAATTGAGAGAACACCCACCATACAGCAAAGTTTAACTCCCAGCCCTGTCATACATATCTCAGTGTTTAATTAAACAATGAGTGACACACTTTCAAGCTACAGCTCAAAATGATTTTTCAGTTTCTGTGCCATGCCACACAGCTTCTTTCAGTGATCAGGCAGATGTTGCCCTTGCTCTCCAACTGATTTTCCTGTGTTTCATTGGATTCATGTCCAACTGGATGGGGCACGATGCCACCCCCAGCCCTCAGGGCAGGAACAGGTGGAAGGGCACAGCAGCAGGCAGGAGGAGTGACATGGTCATCTCTCCTGCAGTACCCCCTGTTTTCAGCACCCCTGCTCTCAGAGGTGCTGTGGCTGGGAGGGGCTGCTTTCACCATGATTTGCCTCAAGTGGTCAAAGCGTTAGCTCTGAAAGACAAAATCCCTGCACTACACCTGAGCTAAACAGAGGGCAGGAAAAATGCAAAAGACGGAGCAGCAATTTGGCCCTCAGGAGACAGAGCAGCTAGAAAGTTACAAACTTTAGCCTTTGATGATCTCCCATGGCCTTGGCCCTATGTCTCCTACCAGCAGGTTAGTGGTCCCTGTGGAGCTCCACACATCCAGAGAAAATTTGCATCCCCTCATATGGTCCCCCTGCATAGCAGAGTGACAATTACCAAGGCAGGAGCACAATTTGCCCCTGAGTGCTCTACACAGAAGCAATGCATGTGAAAGAAAAGACTAGCAAGAAGAACAGCCTAACCTATTGCAGCATCCACTGCTGAACAGTAATTGGCACTGAGGGAACTCATCTGGCAAGGAAGCCTGTAATGAGGCAATATCCCATCGTCACCACTAAAGCATTGCTTTCCCAGAATCAAAGACAACAAGCATGACAATGCAGCAAAATGGCATAAAGAGGGAGAACACAACTGCAAAGGCAACTGGAAAACTCGTGTTAAACTGCTGCAAATGGTAAAAATTATTTGCTAAATCAAATCCTCTCTACAGCTTGGAAATATAAATTTATTACTCGGCCATTTGCTGGCTATAACTGCAAAGAAAATACAACCCAAAATCAATAGAAAAGGAAAAGGCAAAAAATAAACAACTTGGGAGCTGTGGAGTGCTCACAGCAGTGGAGAAACAGATGATTGTAGTTCTACCTCAGCAAAATCTCCCTTGCAGTTAGCAATGATCTGTGGGAGGCCAGCAGTCTATTAAACCATCAGGAACACCTTGGCTAAAGTTTTTAGGGCATAAATCAGCTTACCTCATTCATCTGACTGACACACCAGATGCCCCCTGGCAATATTAAGCTTCATATTTTAGCCTTATTTTCTTCTTTCATTCGGCTGCCTCTGAAGTTTTATTTGAGGCAATCTCTTCTCACAAGAACGTTATCATTATTTTTTCCAGTGTAAAACATTGCTATAACTACTGTAAATACATGAAGTATAAGCAAAAAACCCAAACAGACAGGCTTGTTCTTTCAAATATGGAGGTTTTCTAACCATTTATCTTTCAGAGACATTCCCATTTTCTCCTTGTTCCTTCTCCCTGTCTGTCCATTACCTCAAATAAAATAAAAAGAAGCTATGTAATTTTCTGCAATTTTTCTTCCGATCTGGGAGCCTACAGTCACTTTGATCTCAGCTTTCAAGAAACACAGGCTCTCTTTAAGGAAAACTGAGAAACATAAGTAGTTGATCAAAGTGTGTTTTGTTTTGTTTTGTCACAGAGACCTATGTGATGTGACAATATCTCCAGAAATTCCCTGTAGGAATACAGCATTTGTCTTCAAGTATCTGCTCTCCCTGGCATGAAACCCAAACCAACCACATCTAACCTTCTGTGCTGAACAAAGCCCAGTGCAGCGTGTATGTTACTGCTAAAAGCTACGTGCTTATTGCCTGGAGTGCCATGAAAACTCCTGCAAAGAAAACTCCACAGTCTGCTTTTGCTTCGATACCACGGCTTCCTAGAGAGCTGCTGTGCCTGTGCTGTGACCCCACCTGAAGGAGCTGGACCCATCTGTGGCCCTGCCCAGCTCATGCAGGAGGATCTGGGGTGCAGCCACCCAGTCGTGACTGGCAGGAGCTCCGGGTGTCCCGTCTGTCCCTGAACCTACGGAGACATGGATGGGACCCCACAGCAGCAGCAGCCTGCTCTGCAAGGGGCTGGGCTGGGGTGTCACCCACAGCTGCCAAAGAGGCCCTGTGTCCATGCTAATGTGCAATACTGTACAAAACAAAATGGAATTTACATTTAAAATTAAATTGCTGTGCAGAGTAATATATGCACAGAGGGCACCACAGGGAAAGAAATTGTGAGGTGTATGTGTAATGAAAAATATATATACTTGTGCTTGAACAGGAAGGTCTGGAATACGAAACAATAGTTGAACATGATGTGAAAACAACCAATTTACTCAAGACTTATTTACAAAAATAGGAATATTTTATCATTTCATGTGACTTAACATAATCCTCAAAAATACCATATTTCACATCGGGTTCTTTGTCCATAAATTTCTTTGGGCAAAACAGAAAAAAACAAAAAATTTATATTAAAACATCTTCTTGAATTTTAGGAACAAAGATAAAATTGCTGCAGACTTGTTCTTATTCAGCAGAAGCATGTTTGTAGTAAATACAACATAAATAGTTGGGATAACAGTTCAGGAACAAATTTAGAAATATTGAAGTAGCAGAATTTGAGTCTTCTCTCAAGGGAGTTAAAAAAAACATTAAAAAAATAAAACAAAACAAAAAAACCTGTCCCACATTTAAATAAATATAACAAAGATTCTCCTGGAATCTCAGCAATTCTAAAAACCTGACAAGAGAAATGAAAATTAGGTCCATTAAAGGAAAAAGAAAAAAAAAACCAAAAACGAAAAGACCAAAAGTGAATGAAAGAAAGGGCAGACTAATAAAAACAGTAAAGCAGGAAGCAGCCTTGTTATCAACCCAGAGATATAATGAGAGACAGAAGGAGATTATTAAAACCCCTTTAAGAGCTGTATTATTTCTTTCAGCATCTATTTAAATCCATGTAAACTTTCGATGTGCTGACAATGGAGGATGGCTGAAAGGCACAGGGTGAGAACTGCAAGGTGTGAAGTGGCTCTCAGCAGCTTTCAGTCCTTTTCTGCCTGTGATCTTGTGATCCTCCTGTTTTTCTTGTGCTTTGCACTTTCATGTCAGGCTTGACAAATGCCATATCCTGCTTTGCTGTGTCCCATACCAGGGCGTGATATATGTCATGTCTTTGTTGTGCTGGCAAGCCCCTTCATGGCATAACCACTAAACATAAAAAGGAAGATTTCAAGCTTTATTTAGGGATTTTAAAATTCTGAAGTAGCAAGTTGCAGAGCCTTAGATTTGATACTGTGCCAGGCAGGGCTGTTCCCACTGCCTGTGCTTCTCCAGGGGCAGTGCTGGACACCATCCCTGAGCACGCCTGAGCTGACTGTAAGGATGGGCAGGCACACCTGAGCTCACTGTGGTGCTGGTGGCAGTGAAACCGTGGCATTTCTGGCCATGACCAACCTCACCACAACCTGTCCTGCTTTCCCAATACTGATGCCTGAGCTGTTGGGAGTGAAACCATCCCCACCAGCCCAGCCTGCTCTGTGGACACCTGAGCCCCATGCACAGAGCCAGGGCAAGAGCAGGGCACAGCAGGTCTTTGGAGCTGCAGATCCCAGCCTTTCCCATCACAGTCTTTTGTGCAAGTTTCTGTGGATATGCCCATGGCTTCCGATAAATGCAGGTTGAGGCCTACTTTTAAGACCAAGCCCGTCCCATTGTTCTTGTGGTTTCTACTGACACAAAGAGGAGCGTTAGGTGGAGCTCCAGAGCTCTCTGGTGGTGGAAAACCCCATCCCACTTGATGCCACCGTTTGGAACCAGTCTCTTGTTTATGTGTTCAGGAGAGGCTGGGAACAGGCAGAGCCCGTTCACCATCAGGTGTCCCACACTCATTCTTCCAAAAACCATGGGGAGAACAGAACAGGCACCAGAGACATGGGTGGCAACAGGCAGCCCCACAGAAGGAACACAAGGTGGTCCCAGGGCTTCAAACACTTCAAGTGGTCAAGAGTCAGTTCTTCGTCTCCCACGCCACTTTGGGGGGCTCGAGCTGCTCCTCTGCCCTTCACGCCTCCATGGCAGTGAAGCTCTGCAAGAGGTGCCATGCCAGACAGTGATGCTGGGACATGTCCAGAACCAGGGTAGGACCCCTCAAACACCCCTGGCTGCTGAATAATCCCACCAAACCCCACAGAGCAGCTCTGGGGTGTGCGGGGGGAAGATGAGGAAATTAAGCATGCAATAAATGTCTGAAGAATTAAACCGAACTACCTATAAACCACATTAAAAAAAATCCCGTTTCCTCTTAAAATACCATTATAAAAATAGAGCACTCTTGTCCTGTTGGCTTGGAGAAAGGGAGACTGAACAGACTACATCCAAACTTTATTTTTTATCCTGACCAGTTTTTGAGTTATATTCATGAAAAAATTCTCTGCCTTTCCCTACTTGCACTTCTCTCTCCCATGGATTTTTTTCTTAACACTCCTATAACTCAAAAAAGGCCATGCTGATTTTTTTTTAAACTGTTAAAAAATGTGCTCCCTGAGCTGAAACCAAATTTCAGCCCAGAGCAAATTTTTACGGTTGGGTTATAAATCCCTGAAAAACAGGATTCATAATGGAAGTGCTGACACAGCCTTAACTACTATATAGCAGTGTGAATGGCGCCACTATAATGTCTATTAGAGATTCTTTAAAAAGTTTGCAAAATATTGTCTTGCCTTGCAGAGAAAAAGAAGCCAGAGTACTTAATGCCAACATAAACATGCTTTTAACCCATTATGTGCTAATTTGCAGAAAAGCTATTAATTCTGAGTAGGCACACAGAGTGCAGCACCGACAGGAAATGTTCTTCTAAACTCCTGTTTGACTTGTAACATGGTTTTAATCACTTCCATGAAACACAAACGATGGCTTCAAACTCTGAATGTTGCTCAGAACATGAGAAGGGTGATTACAAGAGAGAGGAAAATGGGATTTTGCAGGCAAAAGGGCTAAAGCCAAGTGGGAGAGAATGACACCAAACACTAAAAAATGGGCCTCCGTTCCTTGTCAGTTTGTGGACAATGGCTTCATCTGATTCACAGCAATTAATGCCTGTCAGCAGCACTCCACTATTTTATCTATCATAACACATACTACAGGTCAAGTTCACTTTCTATCAGGCAATGAGCGTGTTTTCTTCTTCCTTGAACCCCGTCAGATGTTAGCACCTCACAAAGTCAGTTCTGCTGAAATGAGCTGTGCCTTGCATTTGCAGCCGACCATTGGTGTGCCTGAGACCAGTGCTAAAGCAGCCCAGATGATCGACTGCTCCTGGGGGTCTGCTGGGCAGGGAAGGGGAGCGCTGCCCTCTGACTAAAGCACTGCAAAGAAATAAAAGTTGTTGGCAGTGGTGGCTGGCGAGCAAAGTACATAAAAGGCTAACTTGAAGGCCCACTAAAAAAGTAAAATAAATCAGTTCAGTGTTCTATTTTAATTTTTTTCTTCTTGCAGGAATTTGTGCTTTCTCCCCATGTGTAAGCATTAGCATCAATATTCTTTGGGAATAAATGGGTGTGGGCTAAGCTCTAAGTTGAATCCTACAGGGACATTCAGCAACCCAGGAGAGTGCTTGTGCATGGTGTGCATTAGTAGAGGTTTTTATGGCTTTCTGTTGCCATCAACAGAAAGGGACACTGTGTTAGGTCCAGTGACTGCAAAAGCCCATATGCAAGTTGACCTCACAGTTTTGAAAAGAAGAGTAATTTCCATGAAGAATGAAGTTTTTCTGTGTTGCCACATTTCTTGCTCATGTCCTCAGTGCTGCCTTTGCAGACTTGCCTGACTCCTGTTCCTGCTGTCTGCACTGGTCCCCTCTGCCCATGGCACCTGTGATTTGGGCCAGTGGAAGAAGCAGAATGATGAGGAGCAAGAGGATTTTTATCTCTCCACATTTCCACAAGGACCTAAACAAGCAATGAACACTACAGGATTTATGGCATCAGTGATTTCTGTGATGCTCTAAAGAGGGAAGTAAAACCAATTTATAATCAAAATAGTACAGCTGGTACTTCAGTGGGTGAGGATAGTAAATGTGGGCACTAGTGTATCAGATTATCTTATCTTACTGATGAAAAGATACCGGTTTCCCTGGACGAGAAATAAGCATTGGCTGCTGTATTCCCAGTTGAAGATTTCATGGGCTTCCATGTAAAATGGCTTCATATTTTTCCCCTAGTGAGATTATCCTGGGGAAAACCAAGCTCACAGAATTATCCTGGTAATGATCACCATGGCAAGAAAAAACTTGGACCCTACCCAAAGAAGTAAACTACCTTTCAAGAGGCTAAACAGAATTTTGAGCAGTCCTGGCAATACAAAAGTAAGAAATGCTGGAGAAGAAACCCATTTCCTTCTACTCTACAGCTGCTGCTATTTCAGTTCTTTTTCCCTACTCAACACAGGAGTGACCATTGACCATGGAAGGCATTGACACACCAGCATAGCCAATACCCTAGTACATTTCTAGATGAGGAAGACCAAATTTCACACCATTCTTCTAATTTGAAAGCTAAGACAGGTCCAAGGAAAGGAGAAGAGGCACCAAGCATATCTACCACATCAGTGCTGACATGCATGACTTAAACAAGTGTCCCTTGTCTGCACCAGAAGCAAGTAGTAACCTGAATTTTTGTCTCTTGTAACGGTGCAGAGCACCTCAATACAGAGTAATGGACAGAAGGGCTGGTCTGGCTTCAGAAGGGTTTTTTAAGTTCCTTGAGGCAGTTCCCACAAAATGTTTTGATTTTGACAGAAGACATTTTTCAAGTGAAATCATTTTCTGTTGGAAGATTCCTGACTACCACTAGGTTTAGCTTTGTTCCTCTCTAGCAGGCAGGCAGTTATGGGCTCCAAGTGTCTCTGAAGACCAAGAAACTTTATAGAGCTTCTGGAATGCCTGGCATTCCCATTTTAAATCTTTCACATAAGCAGGGCACTTGAGCCAGAGGACAAATTAGTACCAGTACTGGGATCCAAGAATCCCTACTTCATTTTCAAATTATAAGGACATGCAGGACATTCTGCTAAACAGCTCAAGCCTCATGCCTTTCACAATCTTCTCAGGCCTACCAGCTGGGTCTCTGGGATACAATTTTCTGCTTTCATGCTACTCATATGGTTTTGAATCATTAAAACTGGTGACTGTTTCAATTTCAGTGTTCTCAAAAGTGAAAACTACTTATGAGAGTAGCTACTGGCAGAATCTTATCCTTTAAACATCCAAAATCATCCTTTTAATTTTAAAGTACCTTCTTTCACTTCTTGCTTCTGGTCTTGATTTTCTGTCTCTAAGTCATCCTGTGTTTTTGGCTCCACCATCTCTTCATCATCTTCATCCTCTAAAAAAAAGAAAAAAAGGAAGAAAAAGATTTGTTAGATTCTCCTCCTTAAGGGGCCTGGAAATTGTCTGACTTTTTTACAATTATAAAATGGTAAGGCAAAGTGCCCAATACATTTATGCTCAGAGTGACACTCTTAGACATTTCCCCCCTGACTGCAAGATAATCTGCTCACACAGGGCACCTGCCACTTCTGCTCCCCATAACTTCCCCTCTCAGATGTCAACTGAATATCTCCCTGACCTCGGATATGACTCCTTGGATGGCATGAGGACAGATACAAATACCTTTCAGCCTGGCAGCTATTCCACAGCTGGGACACCTGCTATCCAGATACCTCATTTCCAATTCAATTCTCACCAGATTAATTTGTCTTTTGACCTACAGGAATAGGTTAAACAGAAAACTGACCTCAGGTCAGATGCCACTAGCAAGGAAACAAGCATGGCACAGTTCTGAAAAGTCATCACCATCAGCTGGGGGAATATAGCAACCAAAAGTGGCATTTGGAGCTTAGGAACCATTCTTGCATTAATACAAATTTAATGAACACTAAAATTTGACACATGTCAGTTACTACTGCCAGATGTTTTAATGGCCTTTCCTGACCTATGCAAATGCATCTCTCCCTCCCCCTCTCTCCCCACACTCACATGTTCTCATTTTATTCAGGAGGGCAAACCATTCATTCCTTGATGTTTCTCTGAGTTACAAGAGTTCTGATTGTCCAGGCCAGAACATAATACAAGCAGAGCTGAAAAGACAGTGATGCACCAAAATGCTTCAGAGTCTACCTAGCCCTCATTACTTGTTACCAGCTTGTTACAGCAATGTGATCCATTTTTCCTGTGCCCAGGGCTGGCACCCAACCCACTCACATTCTTGAGAGGATAAAGACGCACAGCTTTCTAGATTTTGTGAACTATGAGGAATGAAAATAGAGCTGTTCCTAAAAGTATTTAACAATTAGGATGAGTAAATCCACGGGCTATGGAGGAATTATTTTGCAGTTATTTTGGAGCTTGACATACCACCAAGGCATAGCAAGCGTCACTGGTGCCCTGTATTGGTCCAGGGCACAAGAGACCACATGTTGTCCAGGCCCTGGGGCATTCAGCCATCAGGAGAACACTGCAGCTCCTCTAGGGCTTTCTGAACAACCTCCTGTCACCATACAGTTCCTCATGTCATGGTGTTTCTCCAGGCACACTTCCTGCTCTAACCTGCCATGTTAATGGGGAAAACATATCATCCTTCTCCAGCTGGCTGGTTACTGGCACCTTCTGCTGTGAAGGCTGGCTGTAATGAGTCCTGGCTTCTTGTGAGATGCTGGTGCTGACAGGTTGCATTCAAGCAACAGGAACATGCAGCTGTATTTTGTTTTCAATAACGTAATAGGCACCGTACTACTCCCACCACACTGCCTACACTGGGACTTCTCCCAGAAGCCCAGAGGGGACACGTTGCTAGCTGCCATATGGGCCATTAACTCAAGAGTTGGACTCAATGATCTTTGTGGGTCCCTTCCAGACTCAGAATATTCTGTGACTCTGTGATTCTGCAGTCTCTTGGCTAGAGATCATGTCTCAGGCACATGCTGTAAGGAGGCGTCTCAGCATGGAGAGATGTGCTTTTCCCTGTTGGTAAAATGAGGAAATCTTGGCATAAAATCTGCCATCACTCCCCTTACTGCTAGTGACTGCAGTGGGGAAAAAGGAAAAACTCATCTCCCCAGTCACCAGGGAGAAGGGATAACCATGTGCTTTCCAAGCTGGAAAGGGAAGAGGAATCCAGCATAGATAAAGAGGCATTTCCAGAATTTAAAGCACTAATAATGAATGCCATTCCCTTATCAGGGATTTGTCAGACCATGGAACCTGAGGTGGAAAAAAAGGTAGGGTAGTCACAATGCCTCCCTTTGGTGCCTACTTTTCCCCAGATACCCTACACAGAAGGACTAAGGACGAACTTTTAGAGAGCAAGCCAGGGTGGTTCAGTTTGGCAGGGTAAATACATTGCTCTGTCCACTGGCTGAAAGACAGATAACATCCAGCACAGTCAGCAGAGAGCTGGTGAGAAGAGCTCTCCTGCTTTACACGCACAGGAGGGGTAAAAAAGGTCCTTGTGGCATTGGTGTGTGGTGCTAGGGGAGATGGGGATGCATGGAAGAAAGGCACTCCCAGCTTCAAAGAACAGGAGAGAAGTGTGAGTGCCTGGTGCAGCAGGGAGTGAATACTCTGCCAACCTCAAGAACCATGCACACACAGATAGGATCACAATGCTGTACAGATATATACACACAGACAGAATTATGGTAGATACTAATAAAACCAGCTCCTACAAAAGTTTTGTGAGTCTTGCATTAAAGGTTTTCATTCCCTAAAGCACCAACTTTTGGAACTAGCTGTTTAAATATAGATTTTGCTTCCATTTTTATCCTGTTTCTAACCTGATAGCTTGTGCAGGGAAGTTTCAGAAGGTGGAGGGTTTGAGAAAATTTTCCGGCAGCAAACAAAAACTACACCAATATTCAACTGAAATATTTGGGATTTTTAAAGCTTTTTGCAATGCTTTTTGATGTTTCACTTGCAATTTGGTAATGGATAGGGATCATGTAGCAAATTTAGAACTTGAGATTTAGTATCAGGTTTTCAGGTTGAAGTGAAGCACAGTTATCCCTGTTTCTAGAAGTCCTTGATCCCTCTGATTTTGGGCATCAAATATTTGTTTGTCTATAGTCCTTTCCTGCTTCTAGTGCAGTGTAGGGATAAATGGAAGCAAGTAAAGGTTATTAAAACATCATGCCTTTTTCCAAGGGCACAAACATCAAAATAGTTTTACTGAGAAAGCAGTGCAAGAGTTTTTAGAGATTAGACACAGTTTAGATGTCCTTATTTATTTACAGAGAAATGTATACACATACACAGAGAAACTCAGCTTAAAGAATGATAGGGTTGTGAGTCAAATGCTAAAATCTTAGCAAATGCCAGAATTTGGATTGTCTGGGCACGATTAGCTCCTTTCCCCTCCCCACATGTAGGCATGATGACATAATTCTGGAATTTCCTCCCTCTTGAGTGGTTGGCTTCATTTTCTGGGTGCTCAGCAAGAGACACCTGGGGCCTGAAATGCAGAAGTGCTGAAAGCTGAAGTCAGCTGGCACCGTGCTTTGAGTGGAGAAAGTCTTAGGGAAATTCTACACATGCAAAGGCTCCCACAGCTCCCTTTTTCAGCTTTCAGTGAAAGTTGTCATTCTGACATTTTTGTCCTTTCTCCCCCGATGCTTAAGTGCTTATGCAAGATGGCAATAATATTGTAAAAAAAAAAAAAATAGAATTCTCACCCTCCATAGATGTTTTGCAGAGACATGTTCATCAGGATTTGTGGCATATTATGATGCTGTTGAGGAAGCAACAGCAAAACTAAACCTTGAAAGTGGATTAATGTTTTTTCCGTGTTCAGTGTAATACTTTGATCATGTGCACTAATATGAGATCTGAGGCCAGAGCACTCAGCAGAAGAAGATAAAAAGCAGAAATGTTAAAAAACTGTTCCCTTATTGACTGGCTGAAGCAAGAATCTGTTAAGGAAAAAAGCCCCCAAATGTTATCATGCAATTAAAATGGTATCATCCTACATATTGATGAGGGCTAATCAAGAATGCCCAAGAAATCTGCATTCTGGACTACCTAATGTTGCTTGGCTTTGCAACCTAAATGTTTATATGACATTATATATACATATACATATATATATATATAGCATACTATTTAATACCAATGTATGCGTCCTCACACATGTTTATAGTACATACATTTGTTTTTGTTATACATTTGTACATTTGACTGCACCTACATATACATTAAGAATAATGGGAAATGCTTCAGCATTCATTTTCCTGTGTTTTATTTAAAGGTAGCAAAGATAGCATTTACTGTACATTTACTGGAGAATCTGTGAACATCTACATGGTTATTCATTTCCACATGTGCACACACAGATTGCAATAATTTTCCAGATGAAGAAACTTGTGTATTTCCTGAACATACATAGCCTTTCCCTTTTCAGAGCATATCTAATATTAGGAAGCTTAGAGAAACAGCTTTCTAGCTGCTCATATCACAGTAGTAGGAGTCTTTTGGTCATATTTGGCAAACAGAGATGCTACCAGCACCAGCAGTAGTGTTGCACCCTGCTCAGAAGAGAACAGGGTGTAACACTATCAGAACTCAAATGTCTATTAAAGGAACCACATGAAAAAGAGCTAGTAATGAAGAAGTGTATAACTGCCATGCAACACTTCTCCTTTGTAGATATAAAAGGACTTTGCAAGGAGGCCAGTTTTGGTATGTCTATTTACCACACAGAAGCTGACAGACAGACCCACTCACTGCACATCACGCAGCTTGGGGAACACAGAGTGGGCTTCAGAGTTTCAGCCTAGAGTCCTGCCCACTAAGGCCACCCTGCCTCCTATAAATAAACAAATCCTCAATGGAAATGATCATTAAATGCTTGGATAATGATGTTTGTCTGCTGAAGCTGGTGGAGCCATATGTGGGATTAATACAGACTGAGATAACTAGATCAAAAATGTTTTCTTCATAACTCAGAGCTTGATGACTCTCCAGGATCTAGGAGGTGGCCAATCTGAACAGTGCTTAACAAAGTAAAAGTAGAGCAATTGTTTTCATTTTGGTCTCTTAGCTTGAACACTTCTGCTTCTGCTCCAGACCAGAAGTGGTCCTGTCTGTCTTAAAGCTTGTCTGTTTTTCCCAACTATAGAAGTTGCCCTAATAAGAGTATGACCTCTCCCTACAAAACTGTTTTTATTTTCATCTGGGTGTAAATACTAATTTTCAAATGTTATCCAACTACTAACTCCAATGAGCCTGCTCTGTGCCTGGTCTTTGCCTTGGACACTGCAACCACTCGCAATAGGTGGTACAGAGGAAAGCTCTGTGAATACATAGCCAGCTCCCTGGCAGCTGCAGAAGAAA